TAATATGCGGCTTTTTTTTGTGCATCACTTGAAATATCTATAGACATATCAATATCGGTCAAACTATCATTAGGTGTAGCTGAAATAGTTGTATTAATTTTTTCTAACATTCGTTTTGCAGTTTTAAAAGCCGGAAAAGAGGTATTGAATTTTAAATTACTCATTGAAAAAAAGTGATTTATTGTGAAGAAAGCCGTGAGAATACAGTAAAAAATTATGAGCGTTAGGATCCGTGAGAACAAATCAGTTATTCCACTTATTTGTCGTCGACATCATCAAACATCATGGATCAGCCTTCGATATCATGCATGATATCTCCGGCTGTCCATGATGTTTGATGATATCTATCTATGATAAAACGTGGAATAACTATTACTTAAATCACCAGTACAAGCCACAGTTCTTCGACGATCAACTCCCATTATAGATTTTCCGACGATTACGTAATTAGATAATGAAGGAAATTGTTTAATGTGATTTATTTGATAAAATTTTGTAAATTTAACTTTATGAAATATTTCTTATAAAAAGGTTCTTTTATAAATCGTTCCCTTGCATCCTATCATTCCACTAATTGCTATACGTAGAATCATCTTCGTTCATTGTAAACCCCACGAAGTGTTGACAACCGAGCTTGAATTATCCAATTGCCAAATCTAATCTTTATCGAGGTTTGTGTGGTTGAATTGGAACAGTTCTGGAGGTCCACTTCCTATCGTTAGTTCGAATAAATTGGTTGTAATTTTTTTTGCATTTTTAGGTGTTTTTGGAAAAGTTTGCTGGAGATGTTATCTATACTGCAAATGATCCAATTTAATTTGCTGTGATCCTAACATTATGTATTATTCCTTTTTTATTTAAACAGATTTTCTTATTTATTTATTTATTTGTTTATCTATTGTTACAATATACGGTATTATAAAAGATGGATCTTAACTCTCTCTTCAAAACAACCCAAAGCAATATGTATCTTCGAAAGCTTTAATGCTTTCATATTTGCGCCAAATATGTCAATTTACAACAATCTGCTTGCAGAGAAATCCGAAAAAATCAACAGTTCATCAGATACTACTCTAATAATTCACAAAATTTTTCACAGAATTTTCTTAATGAAATTATTAAAGAAATGTATAATCTGTATACTGAAGAACGATTAAAAGGCAAAAATCACCGTTTAGTTTTTGATACACTAGAACAATTTCTGATAAAGAAAAAGCAAACTCTAGTTAATATTACCAATTATTGCTTATTTGATCAAATCAATCCTATGGCTCAAATCATTCTTTCACTTTGTTATTTCTATGGTAAATGGTTGAAAAGGATGAACATAAGGCATTCATTTATTGCAAAAAATCGGCGGAGATGGGTAATATTATTAGCATATGTTGTGGTATTGGATACTTTATTGGAAAGGAATTGGAATTGAAAAGGATGAACATAAAGCTTTTATTTATATTCAAAAATCTGCAGTAAGGTACAACAATTTGAAGGGTTATATACTGACTTGGATATGCACACAAAAAGGTAATATTTCGTATATTTATACATATTTTTATTTTATTAATTTATTACCAATTTTTAATTCTATAGATTTCAAAACTCGCAATAGAAAAAATGAAGTTGATAAAAACATTTCATTTTACGAATGTCTTAATATACAAAAAGTCATTTTTTTTCAGATAAAACTGCTTATGACAGAAGAACACTATTACGACGCCATTGCTGGAATTTTTCAGGATTGCATGCTCAAAAATATACATTTTTTTGTTTGAGAAGACAATTCATCGTAAAAGGAGCATTGTGCATTAATCATCTTTTATCGTATTGTACTCAAGAAGGTTCTATGAATTCTATTGACTATGAAAATTTTATTAAACATGACTTAGTAAGAATTTTATTACGTAAATATGATATTGTTTGTTTAAATATCAATTAAAATATGAGAGATAATTTTTTAAATCGGACCAGAACGTATATCACTATTAAAAATTAGGCCTGATTCAAAAATAATTTTTTATGCCGAAATCTATAACTTAATCGGATCGGCCGACTAATTGTTATCAGGTGTCCCAGGAATTATGAAAACAGCTGTAAAAGGCTGCCAGTCTTTGAACCAAGACGGATCGGATGAATCGATTAACAACTCTAATCCCATTATTAACGCTTTTAAATTTGACCAGTGTTTTTCTATATATGGTCATGCAGTGATTGGTTAAACATTATTATTATTTTATTTTTTTTTTGTCAAATTTGACGTAAACTATAAATTAACTCTGATCCTAACAATAAGATATTATTTTATAAACCAGTGTTTTTTTTCATATAATCACATAATTGGGTATAACTTATAATAATTTTTTAAAAATAAATCAGAAAGGTCGTGCTTATAAAGGTTTCTTGTAATAAGTATAAATGTGATTATATATTATGTAATTATATAGAAGATGACTGTATAGAAGTTGACAATATTACAATAATGTCACACCTAGTCTATTGTAAGTCATTGATGAAGGTTAGGTCTCACCTTCGATTATTAAAAAAAAATAATTTAGTATAGTAGTGGTAGATCCTGTAAATCACCCAGAAATAAATATTCCAATTATCTATACTAAATAAGATTTTAAACAATGAAAATAATTCCTGAAATGCATCAGTTACGTAGTAATATCAGGTTTAAAATGTAGACAAGGTTTCACTCAAAAGAAAACTGCAGAGTACAATATTCTAAACTAAGTCCTTGTGCATAACTACGGAATGCAACTCCGATTTATTTAGTAGCTTGATTTATGTTAGTTGATCCAGTGACCAATGCGCGGTAAATGAAAAACCGAATATAGAAACAAAAACATTTAGAACATAAATAGACACTTTGACACATGGAATTAGTCTAATGCTTGAACAAACGTATATAAAAATATAAATAAATTTAATTCAACTTCTACATTGCAATATTTATCACAAAAAGAGCTTCTTTAGTACTGTATTTAAAAATCATTATGGTCGAAAATTCCGATAATTACGATTATTACGATTATTACGATTTCGATGATTACGATGATTACGATGATTACTATAATTACGCTAAAAGAAATTATGAACGATACGAAGTTTACGGAGTTTGCAAAGTCTGTAAAAAGTTTAATAGTGGATACGGAGTGTGTCATACTTGTGATTCAAAAATAAAAGATCATGAATGGAAAAGCGGAGATAAAAACATTGATAACTTTATTAAAAATTCGCAATTAAGAGCCGTTACATACAGGTCAATTATTGAATGGATACCCTTCGACAAACTAAAAGATATTCAAGAAATTGGAAAAGGAGGTTTTAGTACCGTTTATTCTGCAACTTGGACAGAAGGAAAGCGTATTATTAATAGGAATGAGGAAAATGATATAGTGGTAGTACGTAAACAAGATTATAAAGTTGCACTAAAAAAGTTTACGGGAATTCAAGATGTTTACATGAATTTCCTCAAAGAGGTAATACTTAAATATATTATTTATGCTGTGATTTGTTTCGATAGTTATATTTTATGATTATATTCATGCTAGCAATTTTACTATCATTTTAAAGTTCAAAAATCATGTTGAATGTCGAATTTACGGACACGATCTCGAGATATACGGGGTGACATACAGCACAAAACACAAAGAATACATGATGGTTTGTCAGTATGCAGATGAAAATGATCTCCGGAGCTATTTATCAAAGAACTTTAAGTCGCTCACTTGGAAAGATAAATTATTCATTCTTAGTAATATTGCATATAATTTAAGTGAAATTCATCGAGCAGGATACGTGCATCGAAATTTTCATAGTGGTAATATACTTCAAACAAATATTCTTCAGTCTATCGAAGAAGATCATACATATATTTCTGATCTGGGATTATCTTATAAAATTGAAGAATTAGCTTCAAGTGGAAAGATATATGGTGTAATTCCATATGTTGCACCAGAAATATTTTTAGGTAATAGACACGAGAAATCTTCTGATGTTTATAGTTTAGGAGTGATCATGGTAGAGATTTCGACTGGCATACCTCCATTTGAAAGTGAAAAACTCGACAAAAATCTTCAATTAAGAATATGTAATGATAATTTGCGACCGGAATGTGCATCAGGAACACCAGATTGCTATATCAGATTAGCAAATAAATGCATGCAACACGACAAAACAAAACGACCAACAGCCAAAGAAGTTTATGTAAAATTGGATAAATGGTATAAGTTGCTTAATAAAGAATCAGAAGAGTTAAATGAAATCAAATGTGATTTCTTGATAGCAGATGAAGATGAAGCCAGACATAAATGGGAAAGATGGGCAAAGATTAATGATTCGAAATATACGAGTAAACTTATCGAAACTTTATAAATATCAAAACGTTAGCGTTAATCGTTGTAATTTCCAATAATTTATTCACATGTAATTCGATATGATGTATTTATTAATTATAACTAAGGATTATATTTTGTCTGATTAAACAATTTTAGTTTTTAGTGTGTTATATTGTAGTATCCATAATTATTTATAAAACTTTATATTTTAATCAATAAAATAATGAAAATTTAAATTATCTCAATTGTATCTATTCGGTTCGTGATTTGCAAAACCTGAAAAAATTGACTACTAATAAGTAAATTCAATATCCTCAGATTAGGATGCCTCATTATAATAAACTTCTATGTCTAACCACAGTACTAGAAAAAGTAAATTCTTAATATAACAGCAATAGGCAGAAAATTCATAACTATTTTACAAAGTTATTAGTCTATCTTTTCAGTATGAGGTACTCTTATTAACCCCTTGATCTTTTTATATAAATATATTATTTTCTTTCTTATACGGATTAAGCCCCGTTAATAGATTATATTTAATAATCTTTCATAGATAAATAAATAACTGAAAAACAAGTGTTGCAAACTTTTATAATTTTGTTTTATTTATTCTACGTAATTATTATTTTACTTGCACATTATATTATGGTAGAATAACGCTTATATTTGATGCCCATTTATATAAATTTGGAATACTTCAAATTCATCAGCACTAAACCAACCGTCTTTTGATGAAATAAGTTTTTCATAAGCATCTGGTAAACCGTAATTATTATTACAACAGCATAAATTTTTAGAATTAATTCCAAAATCATAACCACTAAACCATGGACCTTGATCTATTTCACCATACCATATTGCCGTTGATGGATCACTTACACGACTAAGAATAGATTCGTTTAAGCTTTCATTTTTTAAAGCAAAGATAAAACTATCAGTTGTTGTTGCATGTTCGTCATTTGAATTGCCAACTTTCCAAATAAGAGGATTATAACCTCCAATTATTTCATTCGTGCCATTAATTTTAACAACCACCACAGTATTAGGTATGTTATCACATAGCCTGTGAAACGTTTTACCCGAAAACCCATCTCTACTGCCTCTAAGTAAAAGTTTAAATTTGAATGGAATTTCTGAAACATCGTAAGTTATTAAACGTCGATTAATCCATGAAGAAATTTCTGCCGCATGTTGCAATGTAATTATAGAGGAGAAGGATGAAATGATAGACATTTCTGGATTTAAGTATTTTATCACAAGATCATTCCATATATATATTTCAATTAAATTTTGATAAGGCTTGATTTTTGAGATATCTTCATTGGAAAACCGAAAATATTTAATATGAGGAAGGAAACTTTGAAGTGTTGTTTTTAAAGCTTTGAAATTCTCATCTGTCCACTCTTCAAAGTTAGATGGTAAATTTGAAGTTTTTGCTTTCCCCCACAGAATGATCTTATCCCAAATTTCTATTTCTTCCATTTGTGTATCATCGTTCTTTAAGATAGTTGTTAAAGCATCCTCATGGAGATTAATAAAATCAACACAGTTAAAAATCTTATTCGGATATCTTTTGAGATTATCATTGCAAAATTTTTGCAAAGACATAAAATTTTCATTATGAAAGCTTATATAATAAACTCGTGAAAAATTTGAATAAAGCCAAGATGAATAATTCCAAATGAGTACAGACTGAAAATCTTCAACCAATTCCGCAAGCATTAATTCGTTAGCAATAATTATTAAATCAAATATTTCAGAAGCTTCAAAATTTTCTAAAGAAACTATACCACTATAGATATATCTTATAGCAAATAATCAAAACATTAGTTTATTTGTAAAAAAAAAATCTGATAACAATAATATTGTTATCTAATTAACTTACTTTATGATTATGCTAAATGCTTTGGTAGAAATATGAGGTAATCTAATTTCTGTAATATTGTTTTTCTTAGTTGCATTTGTTAATTTCTGTTGAAAGTATAATGAACGTTGATACAAAATCGCTGAATGTGCTTTAAAAAGATTATTATTTGATTCTCCAACTTTGATAATAACATTATAATCATATCCACTTTCAAGAAGTTGTGAGTAATCTTGTGAAAGTTTTGTAATATATGTCCTTGTCATTTAATATAAATTCTAGAATCAAATCTCGGTTTGTCTTGTTTCTACGTATTCAGTATTTGGTACTGTATTAACGTTAAATTGGGTTGATAATAAGATAAAGTTAATTTTTTAAGCCGTACTGGATCATGTGACTACCAGCCGATCAAATTATCAGCTGAAAAAAAAATAAGTCTTACTTTCTGCCCCTTTATTTAAAGTAGATTTGATTTCTAAATTTTTGCGGATGATTGTTTATCACGCAAACTAAAAATGAGGGACACTAAAGGAAAACCAGACTTCAATCATATAAGTTTTATATGTTTTAAGTTTAGCTTTCCCTTGGCTTCACAAAAATCCATACTAAATTAGGTTTAGGCATAATCAGAAATAACTAACGCTAACATTCATGAAAACCATTTTCCCGAAAGAACATAATACCGACTAATTTGGCTGACATTATAATTAATGCCGGCTAACTTTGTTCTTTCTGGAATCTGTATTCCGGGATTTTGTGGTAAAACCATTCATAAAGTCCGATATCTGGTCTTTTCATATACTTAGTTTTTTATTTAATTTTTTTCACTAGGATTTTGACTTTCACTAAGATTACTGTATGCCAGGTTTTATTTTTGTCATTTCCAATTTTATATCCTTTTCATTCGTCAGAAAATTTAAGGTTTCATAAGAGTTTTATATACAGTATATCTGTTTAATTTTCATATTCCGTTAGCACGCAAAAATAGATTTTACCAACAGCTATAATATAATTGTATATTCCATACTGGTGTATGGCATAAATAATATTATAGGTATCAATGTATTTCGGCAATTCTTATATAAATTCTAATGTTGATTTATAATTTTTTAATATTGTTTATGCTTCTAAATTTTTTGGTCATAAGTCATCACTGCATGTCTTTATTCGAAGTTTTTCCAATTTTTTCCAATTTTTATTTGACTAGAAGAAGTAACTTCCCATACAAAATTTTTCAAATCTTTATACTAAGTGAGTAAATATCTGATGATGTCCTTCGATAAAAGTTTTTGAAGTCATGTATACATATAGTAAAAAATCATAAATTCTAACAGATATTGTCTCTAGTAGTATATAAAAAGTCCTGATTCCATAATAGCAAATGTCTTCTTTACAGAAACCTATGTTTTTGCTAAATATGTTTAAAATATAAATATTATACATCTACCATATTATTATAATATTATTAAAATAGAAATATAATAAATATATTTTAAAAATATATTAAATATATTATAATTATATTATAAAAAAAAATTTTTTTCTATCTTAATAATATCCAAGTTATAATAATATTTTTAAAATTATAATACATAAAAATTAATATAATTATAATATTTTTAAACATATAATAAATATATTTTTTAATAAATAACAAATAAATATAATATTTAAATAAATAACGATAATAGCAAATTTATTTGTTATTATAAATAATAGTTGTTTATTATGCAATTTATTTATTAAATATAGAATTATATATAATATAAAAAAATCAAATAATTAAAATTTTTTAAAAAAATCGGTTATAACTACAAATTTTTATTATGAAACTATTTTTTGTTTATAACCAAAAATATTCTTTGTCCAATTTTGCATATAATTCGTCTATTTTAAATTTTAATTATAACTTCAATTTATAAATATTTATCATTAAATTTGTAATTTTTCTTTTGAAAAATTTTTACTAGCTGTTAAAAATATGTTAACAAGTTAGATATTATTAAGATAACATAATCAAAACTAAATTTTATCTATATTTTAAACATATTTAGCAAAAAACATAGGTTTCTGTAAAGTTGAAGATATTACCACTGTGTAAATCTTGGTAAATAATTTATATAAATTAATTATTTAACAATAAATTATAATAAAATTATCTTTCCATTTCATTGGTACATATGGCGAAGGTTTTTACTCAAAGAATTTAAATTAGAGAGTCTTAACACAAGGATATAAAAGATATAATTTTCAGAGTAATCTATAGCATTGAAAAAGAAGAATTACCGTAATTAATTTCAATATGCCTTTAACTGTAAAATTAAAGATGATGTTAAAGATGCAAAAACATTTGTGATTTATGAAGATACGCTAATTTGTACAAAATTTAGATCGGATTATAGGTCTTTGGTAGATTGTTGCAAATCCTTACTGGCCTATTTCTTTGATATATAAATTCACAGGCAACATCTAGAAATTTTGAAACCTGATTATAATCGATAACAAGCAGCTAAATCGATTATAATCGATTAGCTTCAATTTGTATTATTATCGATTAAGATCTAATGATTTTAATCGATTATAACAAAATTTCTTGATAACTGTAAATACTCTAACCTTATTTTTATTGAATATCATCAATATCATCTTCGTATGACCCTAACTAAAAATTATTAAATTTCATAGCTTGTAATTAATTTTTCCTCTAATAATAACATTTAAATGCATGTATAATTTAAAATCATAATTAAATAAAGAACAATAAAAATTATATTGTTGCTTTTGATACAAAAATTAGCTTTATTTAAGTCTCATGTAGCTTTTAATTCCAATTTACATCAGTAACAGTATCCAAAAAAGTCCATTTCATAGTTTCTCTAAACTAGTATATTTTTTTGAAAATAAGTAAACGTTTACTATTTCAATTCAAATTCCACATAAATAACTATGTTAAAATTAAAATATTGCAAAAGAACAAATCATTTTTGTAGATTTTTGATAAAAAAAAAAAAACATTTCAATTTCAATTTCAATTTGATAACAATATTCAAGACTACTTATTTCGATAGTTCCATATTAGCACATTTTTGATAATAAATAAATGCTTTATATTCATCCTTTTCAACTCCAATTCCGTAGTGATAACATTGACCAACTTGATATATACCATCAGCATTATTCATATTAGCTGAACTTTTATAATGAACAAATGCCCTATGTGCATCCTTTTCAACTCCAATTCCATATCGATAACAATAACCAACTTGATATATACCATCAGAATTATTCGTATTGGCGCATTTTTGATAATAAGTAAATGCTTTATATTTATCCCTTTCAATTCCAATTCCATGTTCGTAACAATATCCAAGACTATATATTCCACTAAAATTATTCATATCAGCAGATTTTTGATAATAAATGAATGCCATATGTACATCCTTTTTAACACCATTTCCTTTTTCGTAACAATTTCCAAGATTATACATTCCATTCGAGTTACCCATATCAGCAGATTTTTGATAATAAATTAATGCTTTCTGTTCATCCTCTTCAATCCCAATACCTTTTCGATAGCAACGTCCAAGATTGTACATTCCACTAGAATTACCCATATCAGCAGATTTTTGATAATAAATGAATGCCTTAAATTCATCCTTTTTAACTCCAATCCCTTTTCGATAACAATGTCCAAGTCTATTCATTCCATAAGCATTGCCAATTTCGGCAGATTTTTGATAATAAACAAAAGCCATATATTCATCCTTTCTAATTCCAATTCCTTTTTGATAACAACCTCCAAGATTGTACATCCCAACAGAATTACCCATATCAGCGGATTTTTGATAATAAATAAATGCCTTATGTTTATCCTTTTTAGTTTCAATTCCTTTTTCGTAACAATATCCAAGTAAGTACATTCCACTGGAATTACCCAAATTAGCAAATTTTTGATAATAAGTAAATGCTTTATATTCATCCTTTTCAATTCCAATTCCTTTATCGTAGCAATGTCCAAGATTATATATTCCACTAGCATTACCCATAACAGCAGATTTTTGATAATAAATAAATGCTTTATGTTTATTCTTTTTAACTCCAATTCCTTTTTCGTAACAATAACCGAGTTTATTCATTCCTATAGGATTACCAATTTTGACTAATTGTTGATAATAAATTAATGCCTTATTTTTATCTTTATTAACTCCAATTCCATCTAGATAACAACGACCAAGAGAATCGATTCCATATGGATCTTTCATATCTGCTGATTTTTGATAATAAATAAATGCTTTATGATTATCTTTCTCAATTCCGATTCCATGCTCATAACAAAAACCAAGATTATACATTCCAATAGAATTACCCATATCGGCTGATTTTTGTGAATGAATGAATACATTATTATTATCATTTTTAATCCATTTTCCATAATGATAACAATATGCAAAAATATTTTGAATTATAGAATTAGATTGAATTATAGGATTTGTTTGATTATTTAAGCATAAGTTGATTATTTCTTCTGGTTTTTGTTGCTTATTCGTCATATATTGTTCTATTGAACAAATAATTGAATCAGAAAAATTTCCTTTCAAAACTTCTTTATCATGAAGATAACATAAATCTTTGATAACTCTATTTAAAAAATATTTTGAATCGTACAATGATAAATTTATTCGTTTTGAAGGATTGTCAACTTGGTTTTTATCATTATGAATAGCGCCTTTTATTGAAATTTCTGCAGATGGATTATTATAAATGCCTAGCAAGCTTTTCTTATTTGACATGATGGAATCAAATTTTAAGGTACATACGTACTTACGATGTATTAAAACAATAGAAGGTATAACTTATTATACTGTTTATTTTGTACTATGATACACAAAAAGGGGGGATTTCTATTGGTGAATCTTATGTCGCTCATTTTTAAATTTTACAATAACGTGGCTCGATACATATACTCGTCTCGAGATGAATTGACATCGTCCAAATACATATCAATTTTTCGAGTGTCAAAATTTTTTATAGTAAATAAGGTAATGATGAAACCTAAAATGATTTTTGGCACATCCCGTTGTGAAACCGGAAACGTGACCTGAAGGCAGGCACGTGCCCACGTGATGCGGGAATTCTTAATTTGGGCTTACCGGCAGAATTCTGCGAATTCTGCGAATTCAGAGAATCTGTTGAATAATCTGAATAATGGTAATAATGAGAATTCATGGAATAAGAGGAATTATAAGAATAATGATAATTATAGGAATAATAAGAATAGTGGTAATTCGAGTTATTTCAAATATAAAAATAGTTCTCAAATCAATTATAAATAAAGGCCTTCTGGCCCTTCGGGAATATCATGACCCGCTTCACCTAAATAACATACCCTACCATTCTTTTATTAACCACTCGTCCAAATCTAACATGCCTCTTTCGTAATTCGTCCCGGTATTCTGTCGGTCGGTTGCCCGATGGCTGTGGAACGATTGACCAACTTGCCTGTGTTCTCACCGTTATCTGTGACAGGTTATGTCGATCACCGAATCAAAAGAGCATTTAACGCAGATTTTAATTTACTTTATATTCAATATTTAGGTATACTCATATATCTAAAATTTCGTGCTAAAAACTTTTATTTAGAAGTCAAACTACTGCTATCATAGTAAAATCTTGAGTTATTTATGATTTTTCCGTTTCCTCAATGAGAAAACAGAAAAATCGTAAATAACTCAAGATTTTATGATAACCGTAGTTTGATTTCTAAATAAAAGTTTTCAGCACGGAATTTTAATTATATGAGTATACCTAAATATTGAATATAAAGTAAATTAAAATCTGCGCTAAATGCTCTTTCGATTCGGTGATCAACATAACCTGTCACAGATAACGGACGTGCTGATTTTTGATGCATCAGACTACAAATAATACAGCAAATTCCGTAACAACATTAATTTTAATGAATTCGAAGTTAGTTATACTATTAAAACAATGATAACAATATTGCTGTTATATTTTTAAGATTTTATAATTGAGCGTTAGT